TCCGTCCACCACACGATGAGGCACCAGTTATTGATAGTCCTATCTTGGATACTCTGAAAGAAAAAACATCAATCAGAGATAAGTCAACACTAGAAAAAAATAAAATCGATACTGGAACTATTGGATCCGAAATAGAATATATAGAAAAATTACTTGAGGAGTATAAAATCGAAGGTTTTGAAGTATTATATCCTTCACCAACACTTACAAAATTATTCTCTCTAAATCGTATAGCAGAATCTCAATGTCCACTCTGTAATCGAGATCACACTAGTGATAACGCATATGTAATCTGAAATAAGAAAACTTATCATTATTACTGCCATCGAGCAGATCAAGATACACCAATAGGTACAAGGAAACTATCATTAAAACTTGTTATCAATGAAACAGTTGAGGATCTAGAAAAAAGACTTCCAGCTCTAGTAAAAATAGATAAGCCCAGAATTTCAGATCTTAATGATCATTTTGTATGGGGCGACTTAATACGTATGTGTACTTCAGGTAAGAAATTTTCCCGTGCTGAAGTTTATGAAGCGATTCAATCAACAATTGTCTATATCCAAAAGAAAACGCCAATATGGTTGCTGAAACATAAAGATTCAGTAAATGGTCTTTATTCGATATGGGATCTGAACTAAAGCTTGCCAAGTTTGAGATTAAAATAATCGAATATGGGGGAGAAGCAGTGAAATTAAAATCATTAATAGATCGAGCAGTTATTACAGGTCTAATAGTTTACGAAGATTATAATTTCCTTCCATATCCATAAACATTCATCAACCAGTTTCGGATTTCTTTAACCTTTTCCTAGGATTTTTGGCTAAACCAGTGGTGGAAATTAACAGAGAAATTATGGATCCAATTCTCTGGCATGTATTAAATATAATTTGTGATGGAAACGAAGAGTTTAATGAGTATATCTGGAACTGGTGGGCATATTTAGTGCAGAAGCCAGAAAAAAAACCTCGAACGATCTTAGTACTAAAATCTAGAATTAATGATAAATTAAATTAATTAATATAAATATCTTGTATATCTAATTTAATAATAATCAGTAATTATTATGCTATATAAATAAGTGATTGATTATAATATAAAAAAAATCAAAAAAAATATAATTAATAAATTAATATATTATTGATAATAAAAAATAAGTTTATTTTATATATTATAATAAATTATTAATAATTACTAAAATAAATTAATTAAATAAATTAGCTAATATCATAAATATTACTAAAAAATTTGTTATTTATTTTTACATATTTAAAAATATATAAGTATATTTAGAAAGCAAGCTTTATATATCATAAGTATATATTTCTAATCTAATAGTAATAAATTCAAACTTAATTATTAATATTTAAAAAGTTTTTAAATATATTAAAAAATTATCTGATATTAAAAATAATAATTATAAATAAATTATAATAATTTATAATAAAGTATTCTATTATTATATATAAATAATCAAAAAAGATTTTTTCTGATTTATATTGATTTCAAATACTTTTTATAAAGAGATAAATATATTTAAAGTATTTATTAAATTAAAATATTAATATAAAATATTTTATTTAATATTAAATTGAAAGTTAACTATAATATTTTAAAAAATATTCTAATCATTATAAATCTTAAAATTCAATATATAATATATATAAATATATAATAACTTCTAAATTAATATGACTATATATTATTACTAAAGAGAATTCTACTATTAAAGATTACTTACTTAGATTAGATTTAAAATCAAATTAATTTAATATTTAGATTAAAGTATAAATAAGTCTTTTAATAAATCTTTATTAAGATTTATAGTTAAATAAATATTTGTATTAATTTAATTTACTTAATATTATTTAATTTACTAATTAATTAAAATTAATAATAAAAAAAAAAAATTATAATTGAAATCTGAAATTTATAATCTAATTTAAGAAAGAATTATAATATTTTAATCTAAATTTTCAAATTAATATCAAAATTATAATATAATATTAAAAAAAATAAATAAAATATTCAAATTATTAATTTCTTTTATATTTTTACAATAATATTAAAAAATTATAGCATATAATTATATCAAATTTGAAAAATTATGTAATAATTTTTTTAATATGATAAAATATTTTAAAAATTATATACTAATTTTTTTTAATATAATAAGATATTTTAAAAATAAATTATATAGATTTTATATATATTCTAATTTTATTACTAAATTAAATTAATTTTAAATTTAGATAAGAAAAATATAATTTGTAAATTCAAATATTTCTAATTATATTTTTTTATAATATTAATAATAAATTAATATTAAGTAAAAAGATAAAAAGTTTTAATAAAATTATATGAATAAAAAAAATAGAATTTATTAAATTAAGATAAATAAAAAATATTATTAAATACTTGACAATCAATTTTAATAATAAATAAAAAAGTAAATTATTAAAAAAATAAAAATCTATTAACAAAATTACAACTATTATTCATTATTAATTTTTTAATATTTCTTTTAAATAATTTATAATAATTATATTTTCAAAACTTATTAAGTTAATTTCATAATAATTTAATAAATATTTTTCAAAAAGTTAAAAATATATTATTTGAAAATATTGTTAATACTAATATAATTAAAAAAGTTATTGTCTGAAAATATTATTTATTACATTTTTAGAACTTGTCTCTAATATTCTATAAAGATTTCCAGAATGATCTACATTGACAAATCGGGAAATCTCTCTGACATGTCGATAAAATCTAATAAATTGTGCATCGCAAAGACATTTGTTTATGACTGAATTGAAAAGAGAGGGGTTTCTTATTTCCCCTCCCTCCCCGGGGGGGGGGGGGGAGCTTATTTACGATATGTTTTTGTTCAAATACGTCTCTAAAAAGACCAATATTTTTATTTCTTTTTATATAATGATAATGTTGAGCCTCTGTAATTGCAGATAAAGTCTGCAACGATTATTTTAGTTCATTTGCTACGTTAGTCAATACTGCAACTTATGCGAACTTCAATACATGGAAGCCATGGATAATAAGAGAATAAAGATTGAGGCACATAAAAAAGACCAGAATACCAAAAACCTCTTGCAGAGTTTCGAGAATTTTATGAAAAATTTCATCGGTATCAGGCAAAATTGTTAATAATAACTGGTTTTTATGACTCAACAATAAATGATCTGTGTTATGAAGAATTATCTCAGCTTGAGCTTGGCCCGGTAAATAGAAACCTAAGAAAACCAATAAAAAAAAATATTTATAAAGACAATTAAAAAAATATTCATAAAGATAATTTAAAAAAGCCTACCATTTATTTCTGCAGTCCACCGCTTCTTTTCGGACCAATCGTTTTTTATCATCCAACACTTTGACTAATTCCCGAACTACTTGATTCTTGTATGGGTAAAGTATATCGAATCGGACAGTGTCGGGTAAAACTCCAAGACATCGTAAAGCTGATATTCGGACGTGCTATTTATTATAAAATGGTCATTTAATGTTGCAGAAATTGGTTTATAATCATCTGATACAGAATATTACCATAGTATTGTCATCATTCGTTTGAGATAAAGAAAGAAGCAAAGGCACCAAGGTTGTCACATGTTCTGATATTATATGTGGTGCATCATGTGCTATCATGTAAAATGTATCGATTGTTGATATTTTGAGTTGTGGCTCTGGTAGAGAAAGCGAATGTATTAAGAGAGGAAAAAGCTAAATGAAAGATAAAAATATGCATTAGATGATAGTGTGAAGAGAAGAATTAGAACTCGAAATATATAGCTTACGGGTGGTAATTCACTTAACCAAAGTAACTTTGGAACATTCCGTAATAAATGGGTCAGTCCAATTAAATAGTTATGCTTCACATCTATTTTAGTTCCAAGAATTTAGCAATAAATAAGTATATATATTGAAAATTATGGTTTCTTACCATCATTTGAAATTTTGAATCCGTCAATAAATAATGGAATACAATAATTAAATAAACGTTGCTTGTAAAGAAGCTGTTCGCACAATTACAAAAAAAATTATTTTATTATAGATTTTAAATATTAAAAAATGCAGTAGATCGTCATTAAGTTACCTTAATTACTGCAAAATTTTTCTTATTCAAGACATCGTCTTCTCCTACGAGTATATCGAACCCTTCTGATGCTTGCCGTCCAAGTGATACGTCATTAAATAGGTTTATCATTATTCCGGTACATTCATAACCAACTTCCTCTGCCCGCAGTAACAGAGCTTTTGTAAACTAACGCAAATCAAATTTTCGCATATTAAACTATTATTGACTAGTTTGCAGATTATGCAAACATTTGAGAGAAAGTATGCATACCCATAAAAAATGTGATAATGCAACGCTTCTTAATCCTTGATCTACTTGCCCGTTAGCAATGAGATAATTTTGTAATTCGACAAGTATTTTAGAATGGACAAATTCTTTTAACTGGTCGTCTATATTTCAGAGAATATAGAGCCATGTTAGATTCACGATAAATTATATAGATAAATTTCGCAATATTAAGTTTTCACCTTGTTTCCATTTATTTACGATGGAAGCGGCAAGCTTAAGTAACGCAATACGTTGTCTTTCATTGGAAGTTGATAGCGAAACCATTTCAATATCCGACAAGAAGTTTGAAATATTCTCAACGGGAATTGGTACCTAATGAAAATACGAGGTAAATAACACCAACAAAAATTCATGCTATAATCAAAATTTAATGCATACTTCTTGTTGGATAGACCCAACTACAGCTGCAAATAATATACATAAATCCTGCTGAACAGAATTTGATACTGCCTGTATTTTCAAATTAATATCAAAATTTCTAGAAATATGTCTGTGTTAAATTTTTCTCAATAAAAATATGCTTTACCGAAAGAGGTTTGAAGCTATCAAAATAAATTTGTTTTTCCTCTTCTGAAAAAGCCAAAAATGAAGTATCACCCTCTATAAAAAGTTTAAACATTTTTGCAACAAAAATAGATTGTTCCCTAAAAATAATGTAACCATTATTTTATTAAATTGATAATTTACTTTGATATAAAAATTGAATAATGAAAACCACATACTCAATGTCTAGATTTCTTGTTATTATTGATATTATCCCTGCAACTATTTTCAAAATTTTCAGGTCTAAAAATGCATTGTCCATTGATTGATCATTGTTTTTTAGAGTAGGACCAATTAAAGCGGCAAGCAAACGTGATAATAGTAGATCCACGTATCGCGCAATATCCGAATGTTTGAGATCAGATTTTTTGATCAAAATATTATGTAGAGCAGAAAGTAAGGCTTGCAGATAATCGGAAACAGCACCAGTCGCTATAAAGAAATAAATTAGTATGATAACGAATAAAGATAGTTGAATTAAATTTAAAGAATAAATTACCCGACTGTATATTATTCAGTTTTTTTATGACTGCATCCGCAAACACTTCAAACAGCGATGGTTCAACTGCGAATTTAGTAAGACCATCTAACACTGCATTGTAGGTGGCAAGCTTTTTATTAGGCACCACCATCACAGAGTCCTTTTGCAAATCGTTAATGTCATCTGGAAGATAAGCGATGAATGCAGGAAGGGAGACTTCCAATACGACATTGGGCTTATAATGAGCAACATTTGCCAAAGCATTTAATACTTCGGATCTGAAGTAACAATTTCTAAGTTTCCAAAAAAAAATCTGCAATATGAAAACAAAAAAAAATCTAATAATGCTCAACTTACTTTATCTCTTGATTATATTCAGTCAGAATCACTTGATTGAAATGTTGCAAAACAATCCCTATTTCGTTATCAGACAGAAATTTTCTTATTAAAATCATTGAATATAATCCCTTTAGACTGACCAATCGTAACTCATTATATTCGTTGGTTGTGACCAGCGGCCCACTGAAAATCTCAAAGAATTCATCTTTGTATGTCAGGAGAGGCGTAACAAAATCTTGATCAACTTAGAAAAATCAAGAAAAAAAATTGAGTAATTTGTATCAAAAGTTCCAATATATAAACATCAGATATTCAGTATAATATTATATTTAATACCTTGATCTCCAATTATAGTATCATCAATCGAGCCATATAGTGTTCGACTTGCCTCAAGAAACTGCATTAAGACCTCCAAGATTGCTTTCTTTTGAGTGATTAATTCACTTTTTTTATATTGCTCTAATAAAACGCGCATGCTAGAACTAACGAGAATATTACATGCAGGATCTAATAAAGATAGATCCAAGATTATTATTTCATACAATTAAAATATTATCATGGCTTAAGATCAAAGATACATTTTTACCTGAAGCCGTGGCGCAATACTTCAAAATACGGCCGCTATGTTTAGCCAGTCTCAATTCAGGCTCTTTTATGTTCTCCAAGCATTCCTTGATTATAGGTTGTAAGAATTGCTCGAGTGGGTCGGATTGTACCAGTATTTGAGATGAAAGTGCTGATGCAATGCTACGAATAGTATCGAGTGCATATGATTCTAAGGAATCGTCGGTCGAATGAAAGATCTAGAAAATACTAGTTATGGTTGAGCCGGTTGTCTAGTTTATGATTTACGAAATACGTTGGTCTAAATACTCACTTCAATCTTTAGACCATCCCAAAGATCTTCCAAATATGGAATTAGAGAATTAGCGCCATATATTGGTGCACATGCTGTTAATGTCTCCATGGAATCTTTCTATATTAAGATAATTCAAGATCATAAGTTTGACGATAAATGTACTACAATATACAATCAAACCCACCTTCGCATTACCGGAGCTAGAGGCGAGTTTCTCTAATAATAGTGGCATTGCTTGATTTGCAAAATGTGGTGTGGCAGAAAAACATTCCCTGTTAATTAATATATTTTAATTGAATATTATAAAATAAATAAGTGAAAAAGATTCATTTCATATGTAACCTTAATCCAACTTTAAGATCGTCAGCTGTGATACCATAAACGTCATCAGGTGGTGGTTTGAAAGTTATTGGAAAGTAACAAAAAGTAACCTCGAAAAGACCCTAATTAAACAAAATAAGTAATATCTTTTAAAGCAAGTGTTTATACAATATTCAATATATATGAGAAATAAATACTTCAACATGTTCGTTTATATCGAAATTCGCAATTATATATTTAACCAATGAGAAAGCTAGTAAAAGATTACGTGGATCTTTTTCTCCGTCCATTACTTGAATAAATCCAAACACGAACTCTGATCCCATTTGTTGTAAAGCTATTTTTCATAAAATTCAATTTAAATAAAAATTAAATCTTCTGGCCGGAACAAATATGTATATAAATAAATACCATTCAAGTGCTGTTTCAATAATCCATCAAAAATTTGGAATATAATATGGCGATCAGTTTGTTGCAAGCTTTGAACCTTTACTGATTCGAAAATCCTAATAACCAAATATATAATTTAGCACTTCATGCATATATAATTATCCAAATTGAGTAAATATGCAATAAAACGATGATCATATTTACGCTTTGGATATTTTGATTGCATTCTCATTTGAAAAAGTTTGAAACTGCTGTAGTGAAACAAGACCCCTCAAAAGCTGCGGGACACTCGGTGGGTCGGCCAATCGGTCACAATAGAAATCGACCAATTCATTAACGTTTGCTAAATAATAATTCATTATTTTGTTAAGTCAGCATGCTTGACATATATGAGCGAGAACGTCGTGTACAAAGAATTAACAGTACCTCTAATGGCACCATATTTTAATAATTAAATGAAAATTGAATTAGACCGTACCAGCTGCAGGATTCATTTGTTCCTTGGCGCATTCTGATAGAACTAGTGAAAGAAGGGCGGTTCCTGCCAATATTAATATTAAAGAAAAATATATATTTATAATATATATAAAGTTGAAATTTACGCGTTTTTTGTTTAACGGCATATACCTTTAGCACGAATTAACGTGTCTTCATTAGTCAAGTAATCGCCAAGTGCTTGTACTAAAGAAAGGAATGAAGCCTTTCTGGCTTTAATGCCTATTAAAAATAAATATCAGAATTTGCTTACTTTAACATAACAACTTATTAATAACACTACTTACTTTGAAAAATAGCAAATACAATCGAAGAAGTTTCATTAGACGAGGAGTCTTCTGCGGAAACCATAAAAGCTCTGACAAGTTTCGGGTCCATAATCCACAATTAACTATACTTGCAAGTTGTAGCAAAAAATCGAAAGGTTTACTAATCGACCAATCATTGATTATAGCTGGTTTCATGTGCTATCATGTAAAATGTATCGATTGTTGATATTTTGAGTTGTGGCTCTGGTAGAGAAAGCGAATGTATTAA